TTTAAAGAAGACCTTTGTAGCCGGGAGGTGGCGGTGCACGCCCTTAATCCCAGCACTCGGGAGGCAGAGGTAGGTGAATCTCTGTGAGTTCTAGTCCAGTCAGGTCTATAAAGCAAGTTCCAGGACAGGCTCCAAAGCTACACAGAGAAACCCTGTCTCAAAAAACAAAACAAACAAACAAACAAACAAACAAGTCTATTTCAGACATCTGTGGATAGACCCCAGAGCTGAGAGTAAGAAAGTATAAAAATGAATGTAAATAGTGTGTTGTGAAGGTAAAACCCACTTACAGAAAAAAGGGAAGTCGTTTCATCTGTCACAGAGTAGAGATGGATAGGATTCGTTACAAAAAAACAGATCTCTTCACTAGCAACTGGGAGGACACCATGAAGAAATTTCTTAAAAAGCGATTTTCCTATCTCAAAGAATTGCTATCAGAAAAATACAAAATGTCTTGCTTTTTCCTAGCTGGGCACTTGCTACCCTTTCCAATGATCTTGCAAATTACTCTGCAAAACTTATTAGTTCATTTTTCTCTGGCTTAATTTCTGTATAAATTTAACAACTATTTGACCTTTAGCAACACTTTGCCATCTCTCCTTGCTTTTCCAAAGTTGCAAGAGCATTTGCACTTTGTGTTTCATCCCCTGGGGCAAAATTAGATCAGCCACCCAACTTTGCTAATCAGGGGACAGACAACGCATTGTGTTTGAAACATTTCCTAGGCTTTTGGGAGGAGAGAGAGAGGGGAAGGAGAGAGAGAGAGAGAGAGAGAGAGAGAGAGAGAGACAGACAGACAGACAGAGAGAGCAACAAAAATGTTGCTCAAAGAAAAAAGGGAAAAACTTGATTAGCTTGATGCAAAATATTCCCATGGGGCATTTCTGTTTGTCTTTCTAGCCATGGATTTCATGGAAAATCCTACAGCATGCACAGTGTAAATACCCTGAGTATTCATTCAGTAAGTTTCCAGATTTCACTTCACTTATTCCACTCCAAAAGATTTGGTTAACCTTCCAGAAGATCCCAAATCTCAGGATGTTGAAGTGTCATCAAAATGTAATCCCAATCCACAGGGTTTGCTAGCTCTTATTTCAAATAACTAAGAGCGGGAAGTCTGCTGTTTTCTTCCCATTGGGAGGAGATTGTCTTTAGGAGTAATCTGTGGGGGAAATGGGAGTTGGGTGCCCCAGTTACATCCAGGGACCAGATAACTAACTAATCGGAGGAAAGACAATATGGGCATCTTCCGTCCCCCAAACTGCCTTAAAAAAAAAAAAAAAAGTACTCTTAAGACTCAAAATGGTACACACCATTGGGTACCAGAAGGTTAAAAAGAAGTAACTTTCGGTGGGGAGGATGGAACTGTTTTAAGCACGGAGCTCCCGTTCTTAATGTAGACCACAAATTGCTTAAGCCTGTGATCAAGCTCCCAGGAGGAGGCCATGCTAGCCTAGCCTGAGTGGCAAAGCTTGGGGGGCGGGGGTGGGGGCTGAGTTCAACTTCCGTTCTCTCTCCAACTTGAATGAAATGGAACCGCTCACTAGGTTACAGGAGGGTGAAGAAGGGGGAGAAGCATGCGCTTTGGGGTACAGCTGGAAGGCATTAACAACTCTTCGAGCATCTCAGTAACTCAGAGGGTGGGTGGCCTGGCAAAGCTCCTGGATCTCTGAGTGTAATCACAGGCTCTTAGCACTGGGAGGGGTTTAATTCCCACCTCCCACCCAGGACAGAAAGCCCTTACAACTGTTTTGTGTGCATACTTCCACCGAAGGCCCGTTCATCGCTCATCACTTTCACGTGACAGCCCCTTCCTACAGAGGTAGCATAGATTCCTAGAAAGTTCTTGGCAAATTTGCCTCCCTAGCAAGTTTACTCTTCCAGCACAGCCCTCCCTGGTGTGTCACAGCTCATAACAGTGCTGCCAGTGGAGACAAAGGACCCCTCCCCTCCAAATTCTTCCTTCTCAATGACCCTTTTTTGTCAATCCTGACTCCCGGCGTCCATGTGAGCATGCCCATGCTAGACTGGGTTTATGGTTTAGAAACATGTTTGGAATCTCTTCTAAAAACAGAGCCCAGATCCTAACACATTCCTACCTATGCAGTCACCTGGAGCAGGCTTGTTTGTTTATCAAGCAGGCCTAGCCTTGGCTAGAACAAGTTGAAGATCCACCTGCCTCTGCCTCCTGAATGCAGGCATTAAAGGCGTTCACCAACACAACAGACCTTTAGGGCAAACTACTTAAACTCCCACTCACAACTCATTTTGGGTCAGAAATTTTCATGCCACCTGGGTATACAGATGTATAAAAAAGATATATATAATATACTTACCAGTAATCCTAGTCATTTTTGAACAATTCTTTGGTATTCACATAATTTTATCATTTAGTAATAACAGCATATTTGCACGTTAATGAGATGGACATACTTGTTCTTTTTTCATTTGAAGAATTAAATCTTATCTAAATATAGGATAATGTAGAGAATCTCCAATGCTTTGCAGAGCTGATCAGACATTTGAACTTTGCAATCATCCATACTGAGAGCTGTGCTTCATGTAACCATGTAGCACAGCAGCCTGGAGAGATGCTTTGGCAATTTGGAGCCCTTGCTGCTCAACCGTGTGTGTAAGGATTCAGGCATTATGCTGACCCCGCCCCCTGACAATGGACAGGATACACACATCTGCGTTCAGACAGATACTTAGACAGCTCAGAGGGCCCTGTCTTGTATAACTACTGAAAGACCCCAGAAGGGATACTTTCGCTGAAGGAGACCCGCACCCAGGAATCAGCGAGACCACGGACTTGGATGCAAACCGCAAGAGGTTTTATTGGATACACGAGTACTCGGGGCGACTTAGCTTCTGTGGGGCCAAGCGCTCCGAGCCAAGGGAGAGAGGTCCTTATATAGCAAAAAGCACAGTGCAGAAGCGAAAAGCATAGTTACAGGGATTCTATTGGACAATTTAATGAGGTACAGAGCATTTTCTCAAGGTCTGATAATCAGGCGAAGCGGCCTTGGCTCTACTTATCTTCCTCCACGTCCAGATGGCTGACCTTGGGACGGAGCGTTCCCCATCAGGCGGGGGCGCGGTGTGGGGGGGGCGCCCTCTCGCCGCCTCGCGGGCTTCT